GGAAGTTCCATCCATCATCTCTGCACTGGAAGAGTATGTAACACTGGAAGAGCTGGATGGTGAAAACAGCTACAAGTGCAGCAAGTAAGATGATGACTAATTACACCTTAATGCAAGAGAAACATGCAATGTATTGCGAGACTTAGAGCATAAGTTATCTTTTTACTTTGTTTAGAAACAAGAGAATGAGACAAAGCTCTCTGTTCTTTTATTTAGCTTTGTTTATTCAATTAATACAATGAAATAATTCAAAGCCTGGTGTCTAATTACAAGTTTCATAGAATTGTAAAGAACCCCGGGTCTCTTTTTTGTTCATAGGCATTCTCCATCAGTTTGGGAGTTCTCAGCCCTGTATTTTGCCACCAGTATTTGAAAGCAGACTGTTTAATCCTTTCTATCAGTTAACTATCTGCAGGAGCTTCAGGATGTCAAGTGACATGTTTGTGTTCTGCTGTGCTAGTGGGTGAATTTCACAGCTTATTCCGTAGGTCCAACCGTTCAAGTGTGCAGTGCAACCATTGCACAAGTAACAGTTTGATTTTGAAGCATTGCTGGTGGTTTCAGTGTCTCTCCAGCAACCTCAGTACACGAGGACTTGTCACTGTTGATGTCTCACTCCTGCAGAATTATTTCCTTCCGTTGCATTTTTTACACTGATGTATGATCCATTTTGGAGACTCTCTTGTTGTACTTTTAAGATTTGCATTCCAGCAGAAAGCTGAAGGCCTGTGTCCAGGACACATGCTCCAAACAGCCACTTTGGTATAACAAGAAAAGGTACTTTGCCTTAGGTGCTGGTGATGTGCTCTGGCAGGAAGCCTTACCTTTTTTGGCATAACCAAGCTACACATTGAGACACTTGTTTGGCTACCAAAAGATTATATTCTAAATCCTTTTTTTCGTTGGTAGAGCTGCTCTCTTACATGCTGCTGTTTCTCTCTAGTAACAAACCTGAAGTGCAGTGTGTGGATTTATGAGGAGAAAAACCCTATTGTGCCACTAAATACCATTCATATAGCATAAGCATGTGTGAGAGGTGAAAACTTCCATTTGACTTGTGGGAGGGAAAAGAATGTGCTGTTAAACATGTGTCTGTGCTTGTGTTGAAGGTGTGAGAAGATGGTTCTTGCAACCAAGAGATGTTCCATCCATCGCACTCCAAATGTTCTGATCCTGTCACTAAAAAGGTTCACGTATGACACTGCTGGAAAGATCAACAAGGTAATATTTACAGCTGTAATGCAACTTTATCTATTCTTGGAATGGGAGGTTTCCCAACGATGAATACTCATGTAAAAGCTGCTCATGTTTGCAGGCAGTAACTCTAGACTCGTAACTGTAGTCTAAGAATAAAGACAGGATCACAGCTCTGGCATCTTTCTTGGTTGTAGTGAGAAAGTTAACTTATTAAATGTTGATGAGAACAGGTTTTTAAATAAGTGAATCAAATTAATATAATCCTAGTCTGTGTTTGTAGAAGTGTTGTTCTCAGGCTATTCTGTCAAATATTTCAGGATAATTTTTGAATCCTCTTGGTCTGTCCTTAGGCAGTAAAATATCCAGAATATTTGGACCTCCGGACTTACATGTCACAATCAAGTGGAGAACCAGTCTGGTACAGATTATATGCAGTGCTGGTTCATAAAGGCTTCAGTTCTGACTCAGGGCACTACATCTGCTACATCAAGGTAGATACCAGCTTGATTTCTAACAGGGTAAATCAGTGCTGACAAATTGTTCCTGGTAAGCACTGGTTTTAGGACAAAAGGGAGCGTTATGGGTTTGGTTTTGGTGTGTAGTGTTGTATCAGAGATCTCATCTGGAAAACATGCAGTTCATCTAAAATACAATTGTCTTTATTTGCAGGCTGGTGATGGGCACTGGTATATAATGAATGATGATTCTGTCCAGCTTTCAGATATAGAAACAGTTCTCAGTCAGCAAGCTTATTTACTTTTTTACATCAGGTAATAAGAAATACTAAATGTGTTCAGAATATATTCACTTTCCTGTTAGTGGTATTTTTCTTCTTTTCTCTGGGAGCTGAGGAAGGTGTCAGAATAGATTGCTAAAGGGAATGTCTGCCAGAGTTCTCCAGTCACCACCATTTTTTTTTACTTACGGGGATTTTATTCTCTAACATTCATCTTTTTGATGGACTTTTTCAAGTGAAAAACACCTTTTTTTTTCTTTTGTACAGTGTCCCTGGACCTCAATGGTATTCTGAAATCTCAGGAGATGGCACAGCAAGGAAGTCCTCATATTGCAGAGAGGAAAAAGCAGAACTAAGTAACAGACGTGAACACAGAAAACAGAGACATGGAGAAGAAAGAAGAAGTGAGATGGAAAAGAAATGCCCGAAGACAGATGACCAAAGTGTGGAAGAAGAGTTTGTGAAGAAGGCGAAGAGGAGAAAGAAGTCCAAAAAGAAACACCGACAGAAGGACTACGAGTAAGCAAGGATTCCAGCAGAATCGGCGTTTTTTTCCTAGGTCCTTTCTGGGTGTTATCATGTCAGCCTTTTTTTAATTGTTTCCAAGTTACTTGTTTATCATAATCTAGCTGGGATCATGGCACAGGTAATTCTTACTGCACCAGAAGTGTCTCTGTTGTAAGAGATCATCAGGAGCTGAAGGGAAGATACTGCATCTGCTGGAGTCTTCTCCAGCCAGCAGGTGGCAAACTCGTTTTCTGAAAAGCCTGTCAGAAGTGCGGGAAGAAAGTACCACCAGTCAGGGGCAGGAAGATCACGGGGCCGTGCAGGCGAACGAGGTGTTCATTGATCCACACGAAAAGCAGTTCTTACAAGTCTGGAGAATTTCAGTGTGTCATTAAGTCCATGGATGTTAATTAGCTTCATCTTGTGGAAGGTTAATCTTTGTTTAAAACCAACAGATCGCAAGTAGATTTTCCTGAAGGACGGAATCTGATCTCACAAAGGCCACTTCAACAGTTTGTTTTCAGAGAGAACTGAACCTCTCCCACAAGCTGGGGACAGACTAGGGACAACGGAGAAGGAATTGTTAGGTTCTGCCTTTTCACCAGGGCTCATCTTGCTTTAAAGAAATTGAATAAAGCAAACCACTGAAACATAATTTTGTGTGGAGTGTCAGGAGAGGGACTGATAATACTTTCTGTTGTCTTTCAGGTGTGGAGATTACCAATGGAAGCCCTCAGGACTAAAAACAAATCCACCATCAAACCCAAACATGTTTTATCATCAAACCAGACCTTACCGATGATCAGCATCAGACCAGACATTACTGGACTTGACCACTTGACCATGGGACCCAACCTTACTGGACCCAACTTGCATTACTGTTCTTGACCACTGGACCTGACCTCACCAATACTGACCACTTCACCAGACTGTACCACTCATAACACACAGATTGTCTCTCTCAAAACTATATGTGTTCTCTTACATGTGTTGTTATTATGTTTCCTTAATATAATGTTAGTTGTCTCAAGTCACAGTTCTGTTATTTTTCCCCAAAGTGTCTAGGTACTGTTATTTATATTTTTATTTATACTGGGTTTTATACTATTATTTATATTTTTATTTATACTGGGCTTTATACTGTTACTGATATTATTTATAGATATTTATAGGGTTATTTATGTGATTTATTTATACTGCTATTTATTTATAGGGTTACTTATACAGTTACTTAAAGGGTTATAGGGTTATTCATACTGTAGTTATACTGTCATTTCTTATTTTTTTAAATTAATAAATTGGTAGGTTTTTTATACTGTTTATTAAATTATTTATTTTTAATTAATAAATTAGGTTTTTTATACTGTTGTTTCTTATTGAATTATTTTTAATGAATAAATTAATTTCTTTATACTGTTGTTTCTTATTATTATGTTGTTTTTTTAAAAAATAAATAAATTAGTAGTTTCTTTATTAAATGCTACCCAAGTGTGATGCATTTATTATTCACTGGTCCTGCATCAGGACACGAGCGGGATCCTGTATTAAAGTTTGTCTGAACGATCTGCTTTATACAAGCTGTGTTGTTCAGAGATGTCTGATCCTTGCCTTCTTAAAGATAAAAAGCACTTGCCCCAGGACAAACACACATCATAGAAAAGTTAAAATGGATTGTTTCCCCAGGGCCGGCCAGGCCCGCAGACACGGGCGGCGGCAGCTCCAGGCCCCGCGGTGCCGCCACTTCATTGTGTACCCTTGTCCATCACCAGCCTGCAAATCAGACAGTTCTATCTTCAGATGAACTGCATGTTTTCCAGATGAGATCTCTGATACAACACTACACACCAAAACCAAACCCATAACGCTCCCTTTTGTCCTAAAACCAGTGCTTGCTGTCTTGACGACCTACTCACGTGCATCCCTCTCATCCCCACCGGTTTAAAACACTCTAATCCCATTACTGTACTTGTACCATCATTGGTTAAGTGTTTAACAGAACAGATATGCACAATTTTGTCTGTTTTACTTTCACTGCTCCATGCAGGCTGTGAAATGAAAGCCTGAAAACCTCAACACAAACAAGTCTTCAAATCAAAGTCTTGTAATACCACTCTTTATTCAAGACAGACTGAAAAGAAATACTTGTTAGCACTTCATTTACCTGGAAGAACTCAAAAAAATCCTACTTAGTCAGTATTAACCATTTTAAAACGAGCTGATGAGCTCCAGCTTATTTCAAGTACACATACATTTGAAGGCAACAGAGAATGTATTTACCATCTTTATACGTGTGTATATACATGTTACAGATACATATATCACGTATGTACATACACGTTTTGCTGCCACCTTGTGAACAGTCCCTGAATAAAGAGGTTTAGCTCACACAGACCCAATTCTGCCATCTTTATTCACATTCAGCTCAACTGAGCAACAGAGATGCTCTTAGAGCAGGTACTCATGTGGAAAAGGTTGGCTGAATCAGGTGTGCAGTGAAGAACATTTTAAAAGGCTGAACAGAGTAAGTATTAGTCTCCTATAATTGCCAAGGACTTCTGTGTCACAGTGTATTGCCACAAACATTACAGAAAATATCACTAAATTCTTTCTGATAGAAATATTGCAGCTTTGCATCCCAGTTGTATGGCTGTCTTCAGAACTGAGTAAGCTGGTGCCTGCAAAGCAAAGAATGAGAGGTGACATACATCTAGTCAAGTGTGTTGTCTGAACTAGACTGTAGTAAGGAATAGTAAGCATTATCTAAGAAAACCAAACCAAACCCACAATCAAAAAAACACCCAAAATGTATTTGTAGTGCAATCAACTCTAGAGGAAACTCAATGTTTTTATTTCTTCACAAATGTAAGTCAAGAGGAAAATGAGAGAACTGACATGTTCCTCATACATTACTCAAGGGAGCACAGAACTTGTATTTCACACTTCCTGCCACAGTTGGTTTTTGTCTGCCTCAAGTTCCCAGCTGTATGGATAGCACTTATTAGTCTTAGCTTCAAAAATAATTTGTTCTAAACTTAAAACAGAATTTAAAACTCTGCAGAGGACACTCCTCAGAGAAACACAATCACTTGTTCCAACAGATTCAATTCTGTTCTAGAAAAAGGAAAGCTATAAAACGCAGTATTTTCTAATGTTTATCTTTGGGAAAGAATATCAAGTCTTATTTTCTGCTTGTCAGATGAAGAGCTACATCAGAGTCACTGGATAAGGAAGGTAAGAGTATCACACCTACACCCTCACTAACAATGCCAACTGGTTAACACTGTACTTACTGCTTCTGCGTCGTGCTCAAGCCCAATGTCATGGTGCTCCAGCTCATCGTCCCGGAACTGCTTTATCGTCTTTAAAAGTAGCAGTTAATTAGTGAGTCTACTCTGCAGAGAAATCAAGTCACCTAGTATACAAAACTCTGTGCTTGTTGACCACTGCATCACCACCTGAGGCCCACGCCTCTCAAAAGCAGCTCAAAGACCTGAATCTCCAGTTCAGCAAGAAAGGATTTATTTACAGCATTCCCCACACCTGAAGGTCTTTTAACACTCCCACATGAATCAAACAGGTTTCCTAGGGAGATGGTCGATGCCCCAGGGTTTAAGAAGCATTTGACCAATGCCATTAATAATAATTTAACTTTTGGTCAGCCCTGAAGTGGTCAGGCAGTTGGACTAGATGATCATTGTAGGTCCCTTACAACTGAAATTATCTGTTCTAACTACCTAATCATGGCCAACATAAATAAAATGTTACTACACAGTCATATTTACTACTTTTGTTTCCTCTCTAAACCTTTCCTTTCAATCAAAACTAATCAAGATTAAAGCACAGTTTTCCCAATCAAAAGGAAATGCTGAATTACTATAAACATGCTGAAACTACTCCAACATACATCCCAATTTTGGTGCTTGAACAATCTGGTGCTGCTGAAGGGGAAAAAAAAAAAAGCTTTTATTAAAAGAAACAAAGAAGGTTCCTGTTGACTTCAGTATTTTAAGTGACAGAACAAAGAGAGATCTCATGTTAAATTCTATAAACATATTCTTTTAAAAGACTAAAGTCACATTAGATAATGTGAGAAATATGTCAAACCATTTTTTTTAGTTAAATACCTGCAATAATTCTTTATACTTTTCTGGATCTTCTGTCATAAGAGTTCGGATCTGGCTGTTGTAGTGATTGGAAATACTCTCTTCCACTGCCACTGTGCAGGCCATTGCACCTTTCTTGCCAAGTAAAGCACTTCCAGCCCCTGTGGTAACAAACATATAGAAACTGCAGCAACAGAAATAATTCAAACATCCCAAGACTTCACAGAATAACAGTAATAGTGCAAACTCACCTAGAACAAATCCTGCTACATTCCAAAGGGGCAGCAAAGCAGTAGGTCGGACTCTGTATGTAACCATGAGCTCATTGAACTTCTTCAGATGGTCTTTTTCTTGATTCCACATTTGCTGCAGAAGAGCCAGATCACAGTAACATAGACAATCAGAAATGCTGAACATTTCAAATAAAACGAATAAAACCAAAGAAAAACACACCAGCTCAGGCCACACACTTTGACTGCAAAGGCAACACGATTCACATCACAAAGAGTAAATAAATGTTAAAGAAGGGCAGCTGAGGGGAATTCTAAGTAGGCAACATAAAAACATCTGCAAAGAGTCCCTGTGGCAATGCTACAGCAACTGTGGCACTGGAACCTCCCTCACCAACAACCCCATCACACTTAAATATGTTTAGAAAAAGATGGGCAGCTACCTCCCCACCAAAGCCACGATCTCACCGTTTCACTCGGCCGTTATCCCTCACGTGCAAACTAATCAGAAAGGCTTGTGGCAATGCTACAGCAACTGTGGCACTGGTACCTCCCTCACCAACCCCACCACACTTAAATATGTTTAGAAAAAGTTGGGCAGCTGCCTCCCCACGAAAGCCACGATCTCACCGTTTCACTCGGCCATTATCCCTCACGTGCAAACTAATCAGAAAGGCAGCGCTCGCTCTTAGGCCCCTCACCTGGATAACCGGTCCCACGCTCGACCTGCCCAACACCGCCATCTGCCCCGCGTAAATGCGGTTCGCCCCGTACTCCCCAGCGTGGTCCACCCGGATGATACGGTCCACGACGGACCTGTTGATGCCCTCCAGCCTCACCCGCGTGCTGCAGAGCCGGAGGGAACCCCCCGCGGCGGGCAGAGCCCATCGCTCCCGGACACCTGCCGGAGAGACCAAGGTGAAGCGAGCTCTGCCGCCGCCCGGCCCCCGTGCCAGCGCGGCCCCGGCGGCTCAGGGC